TTCCCTCTCTCTCCTCTCTCCTCTTGCGACTTGAACGTTTTAATTATGAATGAAGTATAGGTGATCGATAGGAGGGTAAGGTTTCCAACGATAAAATATCGTAGTCCTTTCGATTATTAATCGTGCATAGATCTTTATAAATAGACATTGTACGTTCAGCGTGAATCTGTAAAGAACAACGAACCTTGATCGTTTTGTTTTGCAGACGAAGACCGTTGAGCGTGTTTATCGCCTTCTCAGCATCCTCAGGCCGGTGATAATTCACGAAACCATATCCCAAACTCTGACCTGTAACACAGAAAACCCAAAGAAATTTAATAATTACACACCTCTTCATAGTCATTTTTTTCTTATCACGAGATACGAATCACTTTTTCGCGTCTGAACGCTTCGCGAACTTAGTTTAGGGCAAGATCTAACAGTCACACACAGCGTCTCCGCGAGAAATTTTGAAGGAAAACCAAAGGAAAGGTTCTCTTCGAAAAATTGCTTAATTACAGAATGACGAAACGTAGGAACGACGAGGATGCCGCAAAGTGTACTGAAATATCATCTCGAGACGTAATGTTTGTTTTGGATAAGTTCTGAGAGAATTTCTCCGATGTAGAAGGAGGTTTGTTTAAGCAAACACATCGCACGTCCGCGAGAAAACTGTCGCGAGTCGAAAAATTTTTGAGGTTAGGTTTGAACAATTACTCAATTACAGCTAAAATTTATACACTTCTCAGATCTCTTCGGATGGTAAATCTACGTATTACAAGATATCTCAAGGAACGAAATGGAAATGAAACATTTCCCACTCGCGACACTTTTCTCACAGGAGTGCGATATTTCCAAACTTCTTCGTTTGCATTAAAAGATTAACCGTATCTTAATATTCTCCGACAGTTACTATCTCTCCTGAACTTTGTACGTGACACTGTTGCAAGTCGTGAACGAATAAACGAATAAATATACCTATCGCGCTGGCAAGAGTACGAAAGTGAATCGAGGAAGCGAAGGAAAATGTTCGCTGCGAGGCGAGATGTTAGAAAGAGGACTGCTAACACTCCGGGGAGGGGAAAGAGCTGGTAAACGTGGCTGAATGTTTCCGTTCATTGAGAGCTGGCGGAGACGACGACGACGTCGACGTCGGCGCGGCAGAGTGTGTTTGACGAAAACAGGAAACGCACTTGCCGCGGTGCAGTTACGGCCCTGAGGAGGAGAGATCTCGCGCGCGAGGTCGAATATAAAGCGACGGAGGAGGCCCAAACGAAACGACGCCCCCGCTACTCCCTACGCTCGAAATAGCGTCGCGACGTCCACGCACGTGCTCTCCACTAACGCACGGAATTCGGCGGCGCGAGTACGCCAGGCGAGAATTACGCGGCCTCAAGGGAAGCGTGCACCGTCTTCGTGCGGGAGAAAAAGTACGGGAAACCGTGACGACAGACGCGTAACCTTGCGCAATCAGTTGCACGCCGAGGAATATTTTGCACGCGTTGGAGAACCGGAAGTCGAGGAATCTCGTCGATTCTTTCGCGTGGAGACAGACAGGTGAAAGTTTGACGAATATCCTCCATTGAGTGTTCGAATTTAACAGGTTCGTTCGCGGGTTTTTATTCTCCTTCGTTAACCCTTTAACCTATGATTTTTTTTCTGACTATTCATCTAAGCGTCAGCCATTTACTATTTCAGCACTGTATCAAGTAACGAATTACATTCGGTGATCCTCAGTTTTACAAATTAAAAGGAAAGTTAGACTTACATTTCATTTTGCTCACATCCTGACCAAAATTTCCGCCACGAGTCTGACACGTTGTTGCAGGTTAAAGGGTTAATTTAGCAACCCTTTGTGTTCTAATGGCGACGCTAAAGCGCCACGTGTAATTATCATGGAGAAGTTTAAAATAAAAAATTCAAGTTTCTTTTTTTGTTCTGTACTATTGAAATAAAGGAAATTAACGAAAGAAATAGAAGTTTGGAAAGGTGTAACTCTCTATAGGGAATCTTAAGTGTTCTAGATTAACAGGCTGATTCTTGGGTTTCTATTTTTCTTCGTTAATTTAACAACCCTTTGTGTTCTAATGGCGCTTTGTACTCTAAATATCAAGTTTCAAGTTACAAAAAGTAAATTACAATAAAATACTGAAATAAAGAGAACTGACCAAAGAAATAGAAATAAATTAGACTCTCCATAGTGAGTCTAGAGCGTTCACGAAACGTCAGTCTTCCATCTCCTTCGAAAGAAATTTGTATTATTGAAAAAAAAAAAAAAGAATCTTCGGGTTTCGTAAAGTTTCCTTAGAAAAGTATGCCAGAGTTACCGATTAATCGTATCAAAAAAATGTATCGAACACAAAGGATCGACATCTTTAATTACACCCAAAATGCATTGGATTTCTCTAGTACTAATTAAAAAAAAAAAAACGAATACCGTAAGAATAAGAACCGACAAGTGTCTGTTAACCAATTCCCGGCAATACTTTCCATAATACACCGACATGAACGTATCTCGAAGAGGTTCCACGTCCGATTCCCCAGGGCTTTTCAGATAGAACCGATACAAAATAAACAGCCGCAGACGAATCGATGCCGGCCAGTCGGCCAAGACTAAACACCGTTCTTCCCCGGTAACGTCTCGAAATCGATAAACAAATGAACGGTGTGGAAAGACGTAACTTATTCTCTCCTTGAAAGACCCGTCTCTCTGTCCTGCTGGTAATAGCATGTTTCACGTGAAAAATCATCGTAACAATGTGATACTACCCTGGCATTTTCATATAACACAAACATCTTTCCAAAGCCATTCGTCAAATTCACTCTTAAACCGATACCCCACCTACCTAATTGAAACGAAGGGAAAACACATTACGGTGAACTTACCGGTGAGTTTATCGCGAATCAACTTGCAGCTCTCCACCTCGCCTATACTTGAAAATAGCGAACGAATCTCCTCCTGTGTCATATTCTGTGGCAGGTAATTCACGATCAGATTCGTCTTGGACTCTTCCTGGGAAGCTTGTCCAAGGGTCGAACCGCCGTTCTGTTGCACGATTGTGTCCATTCCGTTCGCCATCATTGCACTCTTTTACCGGATCCTCTCTAACTACGTACGAAATCTGAAACGAGAAATTACACGCTTATCCACAAAAGTAACGAACCAAACGTCGTTCGTTCCGTTTAGAAAATCATCTCGTAATATCACGGTCTTGTATTGGTTCTCTTGGTTTATCGATCCAAGTTCGTCCGTTTAATACCTTTTCCTAAACGTATCTCTCTCTCTCTCTCTCTCTCTCTCTCTCTCTCTCTCTCTCAATCACGTGGTGCATCACTCTAGTCGATCACACACTTGTACAGTTTTCGTCGTCGAAAGGATAAATAGGAGAAAAAATTGAAACTCGAGTTTTGTTCAGGCGGCGAAAAACTGATGAAAACACACTCGACCTGATTATCGAAGCCACCTTTCGGAGATTCCTCGTGTGAAATATTCCAACGAGAATCGTTCTCATTTTTAAATTCGACTTCCGTTCGAACTGTCCAATTACTCATTTTCTTCTCTCTTTTCTCTGTGCAGGTAGAGAATTGACATTGCTCGTACAGGGAAACAGTCGATTCGTTCGACGAATTCGCGAAACACGTCGGCTTTGTCGCGGTAATTCGTCGGGGCGAAGGAAGAAACACGGGAAGAAACATAGTCATCGCACAGTATAAACACGCGTCGAGCAAGAAATCGCGCGTCGACAGAATTTTCAAGGACGTAAAAACACGTGTGTTAATCAACACGGTGAGAGTAAGTACACGATGCACAAGTCACAGCCGAGACTAACAACACCGGAGAAGTTTCCACTAGGAGAGGATCGGTTTTTGCCTTCTGCCGTGTGTTTCTAGAACTCGCGTGGCAACAAGCACGTTGTTTTTCAGCAAACCCCCGAAAAAAAGGTAGAAAAAAAAAAAGAAAAAGAACCTTCACTCAACCTTCTAATCATCGTTTCTTCGAGCCAACGAAATAACAAAATTGTTCCATTTTTTCCCCCATTTCTTTCTGTGCTCTTTTCAGCGATGACAAGAGAAAAAAAAAGGGTATTTCACCGATAAACGATCGATGTATCAACGGGGAAGACTTGCGTGAAATTCTACAGGCAGCTGGAGAGAAGATGAGCCGAGAGACGCGGGCCACGCGTGGCCTACGGTCACGGGCAACTTACGAAAATTCATGGTTCACGCAACTGGATGCTGACGTAATCTGACAATGACTTTCAAAACACAGCGTGAAAAGAACAGGCGGTGGTGGCGGTTGGCAGGGCCGACGGGTAAGGTCCAATGGAAACGCGGATAATTTAAAGGGGCGACGACCCCCCTCGTTCTGGTTTAAAGGGCTCGCCACCCTCGTGACTACCCCCTCCACCGCGGCTCGAACCAACCAAACCAGCGTGCTCGATACATCTATAGGGTGTAACAATCGTACTTCGCTCTTCTTTAGAATTGTGCGATTTTTTTTCTCAATTGTCTCGAAAATAAACTCTCCTATAACGCGGAGCAAAAATTTCGACGGCCCTCCTATAAACGCGGTACGAATTAGTCGGGTGATAGGAGGATCGACTGTAATACATACTGTGTCGTGATAAAAAAATATTCGGATAAACTGCTAATATGAAAGAGTATACGGTGTTTGTTTACAGGAGATTATAGGTGATTCGAGTTTCAATATCGAGTATATAGATTTCATACAGAGAAAAATAATTATCTCTAATGAGACTGTTGATATAGTCCGCGCCGCGATATACGTAGCTTTGCTCGTAAACTGAACCCTCCAAGTGTGCGGCATCGATTGATGTCACGGCACTTGCATCTCGGTTTCGGGTTCCGCGCGATAAAAAAGAGGTTGAGTGACAGTGTTTCGTTTACTCTTTCAAATATTTTCGTATTTACTAGCAATTACTATTTCGGTGTATTCTATAAATAAATTGACAGTGAACTAAAAATTACCCTTGCTTCAACCAATTTCGTTCTTCCGATAATAGAAGCATGTTTACTCCCGATGACTACAGTGGTTCTAACAATACTCGAACACTTGATTAAAAAAAAGCCTCGAATTCGAGGTGCACAAAGAAATAACTGCAGAGGAACATCTGGTAGTAACGAATTAAAAAAGAAATTCGTCAATCAGACAAGTTGAAGGTATACATCGAGAAGGGCCGGGTGATTACTTCGGAGACACCCAGTACGTGGTCGCGCGCGCCACAGAACGAGCAAGAGAGAGAAAGGGGAATTATAGGCGATGGTCGTGGGGTGTGTTAAAGGCGAATACACACAGCTGCCACGACACATATACAATATCAGCCGGCACGAGTTACTACCGGTGGTGTACATTTTTTTTTCCGCCTCCTCTAGTCCTCCGTCAGTCGTTCACCGTAGTCATCAGCTGTCCTTACGTCCACCCCACGCAGGGTGGAGGCCACTCAGTGTGCCTCGTGACTGCGGTCACCCCAATCGTACTGACCGCGCGTTCTCTCTCTCTTTCTCTCTCTGGAGATAATAGATAGCCTTTTATTATATGCATCGAACGTGCCACGCGTGTCCTACGTCGGCTATGGGAAAAGAAACTGGGACGTTGGAACGGCTACTAATTCGACTGTGAACGAAACAAGCGTGGCTTTTCCTGCAGGGGGTAACGTGTGCGACGTTTCACAGAGGCCTTGTTACAAAGCCCTAATAAGAATTTATTATCATTAACGAAGAATTTCATTTGAAATTCATTAGGGAGAAATTTCAGCCTCTCCGAACGGTGTGGAGTGTTTAGTAGGATATTTGAAATGAAATTTCCTGTGCTCCGAGGGTTCGATGAAATTCAATTGAAATTTTGCGAAGGATCGAGAAGAACCATTTTATCAAATTTCAGATTCATTCAACTTCGAATATGTAATATACGTATGTATGGGAAAAATGGTTGAAACTTTTTCTTTAAAAATAGTACGGGAGAAAACCGGTACGGTAGATGGAGCGAAGCGTGGAAGAAAGTGTCGACGAAAGTATCTCAACACTGCTGGGCTGCCGGTGTTTACGAACGAGGCGAGGAAAAGAGCGCGTTCAGCAGTCGGAGAAAATGTCGGAACAGCAGTTATCGTAGCCCCGCATCTTCCGTGGTTATCGATCCACGCGTTCTCTCTCTCTCTCTCTCTCTCTCTCTTTTGCCAGTGCTTCTCGGCATCGCGATATTTTAGGACGGCACAATGGAAGCCAAGAGACCCCATTGTCGAGGTAGCGAGGAACGCATCGGAAAAGTATCGTTCGCCGGTGACTTCGAAACGCGACTCCAGTGCCGGCATTATTATCCAAACGACAATGGACGTTATGCATGGCTGCGTGTACGCGTACGCGCGCAACTGGGGTTCCCCGGCACAATGCGGAAAGCCACCCCCTTTTCGCCGGCCCGGGCCACGCAAAAGTCGATCTCTCCTAGGAAAACGCGAACACGTTCACGTTGCGATAATATTAATGCCTCGGTTGCACGAGATGAAAAAATACAGCGTGTATTGAGGATAGTTGAAGAACCTAACCTTTTCTCTTAAAGTGAGTAATTTCGAGAAATTAAGGTTCGACGGATAAGAGGAATTTAACGTAGAAATAACAGGTTGTATTTTAGTAATAACAGTTGTGGATAATCTACGTAATGTTATCGATTAATTGCGTCAACAATGGGTTAAGAAAATTTCTAGACGTTAAAGATGTTCGAGATTGATAAAGTCCAGTGTTGTAGGTATCTTTAGAGATGTTTAACAATATCGAAGAAGGGTATAGGTGAATACTATTGACATTTCGTAGAACCGTAAGTAATCTAGTTTAAGTACAAAGAAATTCTATAATGCAATCTATCCCCCTGTATGGCAATTGATCGTAAAATTTCCTCAAAGACGATATAAATTTGCGAGAGAACGTAGCAGGTGGGTCTCTAGCCGGGGGTTAAAGTTCGATTTTCACGTACGCTTCGCAGATACGATCTTCGGCCGGTGGCCAGGTGGCCATGGCGACGGATCGTGAAAATCGCGTGGCCGGGACCGATCAATACGAGCCACGACTCCTCGGGTCCCTGCCTCGCTCGTTCTCCCTCTCTCCCATCACTTCGTCTCTCTCTCTTTCGCCCTCGCTCACTTTCTCGCTCGGACGCTGTCTCCCTCTTTCTCTCCTTTCTCTGGTGTACGCGCGCACGACAAGAGGAGTATGTATGCGAGAGTAAGAGAGAGAGAGACTAACCCCTCTCTCTGCGCGATTCCAAGGGAAACCCCTCCCGCGCTCGCGTACGCCCCTTTCCGCGCGAGAAAACACACGCACGCACGTAGCGCGAGCACGCAAAAACGCAGTAGCTGCTCGTCCTGCTATCGAGGAACGAGCAGCGGGGAATAGATGAGGCAAGTGGCGGTGGCTGAGGGTGGGGATGCCGCGGGAGGCAGAGAGGAGGGGGCGGGGTGGCGTGGAGAAAGAACGACAACGACGACGACGAAAGCACGCAGAAAGCAAAGGGTGAGAATGAGAATGTGCCACGAAACTCGCAAGGCACGTGCTCTGAAACCCCTTGAGAATCAAACCGTTGCACAGCATCCGTGGATCTCTCCGAGGAGTAAGAGATGCTTTCGTGATTGAAGTTATGGGTCGGTAGAGGACAGATGGAGGGGGGAAGGGTGGTGGTGGTGGAATGAAATAAAAAGATGGATGATCTACCGAGCTTACCTTTCCTCACCTTCCTTTCACAGGATCCACCTTTCTACCTCTCTTTTACTACGATCGATGCACCGCGAAAGCACACGACACACATCCACACAGAGACACAGAGAACACTTTACTTCTGGCACGCGACACTCTCTACTTGTGCTTCTCGTTTTTATCTCTCGCTCTTTTTCTCTCTCTCTTTTCTCTCCACCGTTTCGTGTTTCCTTCTCTTCCGAATAATCTGTTTTGCGGTCGCACGCGAAACCGAGCACCGTGCAAAATCTCTGGCTTGTGCCTCTACGCGACTACTCTCGTGCTGGTCGATGTATCGCGCCGGTCCCCTGGTCTTCTCTCTACTCTCTCTCTTTACGTGTGCACCTACTATCACGCTCTCGCACCGCCGCCCGGAACAGAAGGGGAAATCAATGAAAGAAAAGTACGACGCGAGCGCTCGTAAATCGGCATTTATGCTCGCCTCCTGGTCGACGGTCCCTCGGTTTCACTTTGACGAACACATTGGTGTATTGTGTATATGCGTGTTTTCGTGTATGTGTGTGTATATTGGCGAATAGTTCGTTTTCGATATCGTCGGAAATTGAGATCACTAAAGTTTCGTATATCCGTCGATCGTGAAAAGAAACCAGGGAGTATATACGATGTATGAGTGAACGTATATATATATATATATGTGTGCACGCGCGTGTATACTGAAGAGAATATACGAGATGTACGTGTGTATGTAGTGTGTTATGTGTATATGTAGAGGGTTACGCGAGACTAGAAATTAAAGCGTTAAACACTATACTAAGGAAACGGAAATAACGATACGACACGGGCGGAGGCTGCCTAGAGACTGGACACACCAGCCGTTTTCAAGCGGCTTGCACCGCTCGGCGAGCCCGTTCGGACGTGTTCGGTCTGGTTCGGCGGCAGTCGCGCACCCTCGGCTAAGCCCGTCGCCGCGAACCCCTCGTTCTATTACGTATCTCCTCCTACCGGCTCGCGCGTACGCTGCGAGGGGTTGCCGATCGAACTAATAAGAGACGTATGCGCGTTCTTAAATAAACTGCGACATCCCATCGTCGATCGAACTAGCACCCCCCTCCCCTCAGCCCCGTAAACACCCTTTACACCCCGTCGAATTTCGACAAATTTCTACAGTTCCACGTTTTTCAAATGTTTGCAAAGATAAACCATTAAATCTTTCACCGTTTACACATCCACCCGTTTGGGATCCCTCTACCCTACCCCGGAGTCGGGTTAACGCGTTACTCGCGCTTTTATTTATTCTGTACACTTGAAAAGCGACACCTGCGTGTCGCACACAGTGTCTCATTTGTACATATATCTGATTAACGAAGAACACGGAGAGAGAGGAGCGTTCGCGATATTTTCACAGTTCCCCTCGAGATGTTTGCAGGGGGTTTGTTCGTTAGGAAATGTTGTTTGCAACATGGCCTCCCCGACGTTACGAGGCAGAAGGTATGCCGCCCTCCTAGCCTCCCTCTCTCTCGCTAAAGCTTGCATCACCCCTTGCATCAGATCATGACCACCCCTTCACGGTTTTTGACCCCCGTCGTCCCGGTGCGCTATCGCGTCGATACAAGAGTCCTTTTACCCCTTACCAGGCCGCACTCGATCGCGAGTGAACTCGAAACCATGAATTACATCGTCGAGACTCACGCTGGTGGCCATTTGCCAAAGACCATGAAATTGAATCTTTCCGGGAGAGGAAAAACCTGGTCCAAGGAAAACAACGAGACCGAGCACACACCGCGATAGATATTCAAAGTCAACGGGTTGAAAAGTGTCTCGGGGGGGTGTGAGTAGAAGAGTCGATGCACTGCCGTAACTTTGCTCTCGTTATTTCACTCCAGTTGCGTTCCTTTTAACTCATCGATCGTGTGTCGCATCACTTCCTATATCAAACACTGTTTCTTGCATACGTGGGTAAGAAAAATTCTGCAGCTTTTTTTTTCTTTCTTCCTTTCTTCTAATACGAATTATTCGAATAAAACGTAGCTCGGAAACAGTCTAGGAGAAACGGGAGTAGGTGGGAGAATCGAAGAAGCTTCCATATCCCTGACCTTACCCTGGCTTTTATCTGCGGAGATCGAGAGGCTAGTCTGTGAAATGACGACGGGCCAAAATTATGCGCCGCTGACGAAACAACCCGAGCAACACTTGGCGGTCGTGCCAATAACCGCAAGTCCGTGTTTTCGGAAATTCGTTTCCGCTATCTTGCGTCATCGCGCGAGCGGAACCAAGCTAGCTAGCCTCTGCTCTACCAAACAATTTCCTTCAAGAGGAACACATGTAGTACCTAACACTCCTTTCGTCTCTACTACCCTCTTCCAGTGAATCGCCTTTAAAATTATCGCTAAATCAACAATTCACCGGTAACATCTCTGATAAAAGAATAGATAGAATGTTGGTAAAATTTCAAAGGCGCTGTTGTACACAGCAAAAACGATCTAAAGAAATTCCAATCACCGGAGAATGTTCCAAAAGCAGAGTAATCAGCGCATGGCTCTAGCCGGTGCTCGCCACCGACTGTCCACCACTGAAATTATAAATACATCTGAGTATAAACACTATAAATATACACCGGTGGTGGTATACGGAAAAGCCTGTCTCAGTCTGTTCACCCAAGTGACGATAAGCATGATCGATCTATGTATCGCGGCATCACTCGTCGATACAAACCGGAGAACCTTGCCAAAACTACGCAGATCCACGTGTGAACCACGTCAACGACGATGATTTCGTACGGTAACGAATACGTAACAGCATGCATATTTCACATGATCAATTAACGTGAAAGAATGAATCTTTTCGATTGACTTCCTGCTTTTATAACGAACCCGACCGACCGACCGACCCGATCGAGCAAGTTCCTTGCACATTACGTACATGACCGGACCTAACGTCGAGGAAAGAGAGAGAGAGAGAGAGAAAGGAAGCCCAGCCATTGTCTAGCCTGTAAGAGAAAAAAGGGAGCGAAGCTGGGACCAGGGCACGGGACTTGTAACAGATGCGGAACGGTATGCAGAGAGGAAATATAAAAAAAAAAAAGAAAGAAAGAGAAAGAAATAGGGACACGTAGTAGAGTCGCATATGCGAGGAGGAGCGTGTTTCCATTATACTCGGTGGCTTTAAAACCGGCCACGCGGTGCGACAGGAAGTTGTCACCGCATTACCGTTGGAATTATGAAAGTTTGCCGGCCTCTGATCGCCTTAGCGACGACCAACGGCGAAACAACTTTAGATCGTTCAACCAACCACCCAAGCCACCGGAGTCAGTCAGAGAGAAATTTGTCCTCGTTAATAACTAAGAATCACAACTCTAATCGTTTCCTATATTCCATCTTTACCCGTATACACAGATATACAGTATACGTTGTAAAAGGATCATCTGTTACTTTTAGGTTAGGGGTGAGAATTTTTCGGAAACGTTCAACAATGTAGACGACGCGTGCGACACTGAGAAAAAAGAGATTTAGCATCGTCGTCGAACAGAAAGAGGAATGGAAACTGTTTAGCTGAGAAGCATGGATCGTGAATCATTCTAAGTTGTGACGACGCGTTCGACAAAACGAACCCTCTTTCTCGGTACGTTCCTGGTCACGATCCAGCTGTCGAAGCTCCGCGTTTTTGGGGTTTGGCCCCACCTCCGTCATCGATCCGTGCACCAACATAATTCCACGCGGCTCCACGGGAGCAATAATTCCGTCCGTGAAGTTTTTCCAGGGTCGGTGAACCCCCTGGCGAGATTCGTCGATACGAATGGTTCCTCGACTGTCTTTCCATCTCTCTCTTTCTCTCTCTCTCTATCTGTCTATCCAGCCATCTTTCACGGATCGTTCGTCGATGGAAAAAAAGGTGTGACAAAATTATCGGAGAAAGTTGGAGAGTAGCTATAGACAGGCGTTGGATAAAAATAGCTGTATAAATATCGCGTTAAATATGCACTACAGGGGGGAGGGGATGAATAAGGGACGTCTAAATAATTGTGTAACAGCGGGAAAAACGTTTTCCCGCCGTCGAAATGGCCACGGATGTTCCGCGTCAGAGGGTCGAACATTGGTATTATCGCGAGGAATATGAAAAAGAGGGATGAGAACGATTTGAAACAGGCATCTGCAGGAAAGTGACGAGGCCTGCTGCTGCCCCGCCTAGGGAAACGTAGATGGAAACGTGGAGAATCGATCAAGCGAGCGTGTAATCGCCCTGCTAATTGAGGTAGAATCGATCGATTCTACCAGGCTCGTGAACTGTGTTAAACTTAACTCTATACGTACTGTTACCAGTTTTCTACGCAAGATCGTACGTGTACGTATGTAGATCTTTGGCGAGGCGATGATCGTATCACGCGTGGATCCAGTGAAGCCTTCTAATTACCCTCACTACCCCCACTGCCTTGGTAAACAAATGGTAGTGGAGAATGAAAAAGCGTTAGCCGGATGATCGAAGAATACCACCACCTCTCTCTCTCTCTCTCTCTCTCTCTCTCTCTCTCTATCTCTCCCCTGTAATACAATGAAATCCATAATTTCCTACGTCACTTGGAAATAGAAGGACGTTATTGAAGCTATTGACGTCACCGATCTCTCTCTCCTACGTCATCGACTGTCACCGCCAGAAGACAGGGACCAAGCCGCGAGATTAAACGAGGCGATTAATGAAATTCCAGGCTGCAAAGCCTGTACACGAAGGAAAACTTCAAAGACCTTAGCGGAAAGAGAGACAGACCGAATCTGTCTAAACGTGCACCTCGTTCAAGTGGTCATCATTTATTCAAAAGGCTAGGACGAAGTTAGAGAGTCGTTGAAGCGACGATTACCTCCCTCTGTGTCTCCTCCATCGTTACAGTCGTCGACAACTCGTTAGAAGGATTTAAAAATCCCTGATCCAACTTTCGATAGATTGTATATACTGCGCGCTTTCGTCACAGGGACGATAATACGCGTTTGTTATTAACGTTAATACCGTTGTGTACGTGTGTGCGTGTACCAAGGATAAAGAAGGGAGTGGGTGGGGAAGAAGGACGTTGGATGCAATCATATTGCGTTACGATGAA